CATTATTGAAATGTGTGTGCCTATTATTTATTATTATATATTTTTTTATTATTATTACAACTTTATTCTTTTTAAATCGTTTTTTTTGGGGGGAAAAAAAAGGTTTAAAGATTTTGTACCATACTTTTTTGTCTCTAGAACTGGCCGATAGATGGTGGTAAAAGTTTTGCAGAGGAGCCGTTACAAAGAGGCCTTTTGCTGACCGGGTAAGTTTAGGATCCTCCTTGTGTTGCTACTCTCTCTCTCTCCTAGTCTGAGCTCTGCAGTACAGGGACTGATGCCAAGTAAAATTTGGTGCTTAAATTTACAAATCTATTTAATAATCTATTAATGAATACAGACCTGTTAATTTTATGTGCTTGGCATGCAGCTTCATCACAAAGCTTTTAATTGTGCAGAGCCTAAGCATTGCATCGTTAATGTAGACCTGCCACCAGTGGGGCTACTCCTGCACTGCAGGGGTTAAGTGCTCCTAGGGAGCTCAAAGTAGATATACTTGCCTAGTCCCTGGTCCCATGGCGGTGAGCGCTCACCTCTCTAAACTCAATGACCTCAGCGATCCTTAGAGGGGAGAAGAGGCTGTGGAAAATAGTCTAGCAGCCCAGAGGGACCGAGGATCAGGTGAGTATATCTATTTTATTTGAGCCCCCTAGACAAAAGGGGTACTTAACCTTTTATAGGGTGTGTGTGTGTGTGTGTGTGTGTGTGTGTGTGTGTTTTCTTAAAAAAACAAAAACCAATAGCTTGCTTCAGGACTATAAGGAGTCAGTCAGTTCTTCCTACACTTGACCACAGTAGCTGGACTTGCTGAGACCTGTGGTTCTTTTCTTTCTAAAGCACATCTGGGCTGATTTTGTTCACTTGCCCATAACAGCTGATCACATTTTTCCTTTCACTCTCTCCTATTGCATTGCAACACGTAAACAGGAAGACTTTGCTATAGGCAATCCATCAAAGATCCAGACCGGGGTCTTTGTCATTTTAGATCATGGGCCGTCTTGCTGTGTGTCTCTCCAGCTGCAGAGAATGAACGAGTCTTGTGTGGGCTCGGCATGTCTCCCTGTTTTAATTTGGCACCTGGGCCAGTAAAAACAGAACGGCGAGCGATGAGAAAATATGGAAAATACGATTTTCGGATTCAGGCAAACCCCAGGAGCCGGGAGTGGAGGGCTGGGAGGGCACAGTGGTGTCAGCAGGACTCCAGATGTGTGGAGGAGGAGAGGATAGGCCTGAGCTATGGACACTCCTTATAACAACAGTCAGCCGGTGTGTGAAAACTGAGTTCTCCTAACTTTCTAAACACTCTTGTCCAGCTTGTAATATGGAACATCAAATTAAAACGCCACTCCTGAGCTCCTCACATTACGTACCATATACTTAAAACTGATGTTTACAAATTACAGTGTAGTGCTTATATACAATAAATGTCACAACCACCATCTCTTATGACGATTCAAAGTGCAATACTTCCCACTAAATTAAATTCACAAAAGTATTGGACATTGCACTTTGGATGGTTATAAGCGATCCTGGTTGTGGCATTTATTGTATATTATAAGCGCTGCACTATATTTTTGTAAACATTGTAGTATGGAATGCTGATCCTTAGTATGACTGTTCTGATCCTTCCTGCACGCTGATCCTTAGTATGACTGCTCTGATCCTTCCTGCATCGTGAGCCTTGGTATGAATGCTCTGATCCTTCCTGCATCGTGAGCCTTGGTATGAATGCTCTGATCCTTCCTGCATCGTGAGCCTTGGTATGAATGCTCTGATCCTTCCTGCATCGTGAGCCTTGGTATGAATGCTCTGATCCTTCCTGCATCGTGAGCCTTGGTATGAATGCTCTGATCCTTCCTGCATCGTGAGCCTTGGTATGAATGCTCTGATCCTTCCTGCATCGTGAGCCTTGGTATGAATGCTCTGAGCCTTCCTGCATGCTGATCCTTAGTATGAATGCTCTGATCCTTCCTGCATCGTGAGCCTTGGTATGAATGCTTTGATCCTTCCTGCACGCTGATCCTTAGTATAAATGCTCTGATCCTTCCTGCATCGTGAGCCTTGGTATGAATGCTCTGATCCTTCCTGCATCGTGAGCCTTGGTATGAATGCTCTGATCCTTCCTGCATCGTGAGCCTTGGTATGAATGCTGTGAGCCTTCCTGCACCCTGAGCCTTGGTATGAATGCTCTGATCCTCCCTGCAGTGTATGTTGATCCTTTTGGTGAACACTCCACATAATCCTATACGGTTGTATTCTAACCATTGATATGAACACTCTGCCCCAATATGTGGTGTATGTGTTCTGCTCCACCCTCAGGCTCTGCTTGTTGTAGGGGGGTTGTGGATGCAGTGCATTGCAAAAAGTCCGGCTTGCTGCATCTTTGATATTCACTGGTATGAACAACCATGCCATGCCATGCTTGGACACGCGTATAGCTCTCCATCCATATGCAGCTCTTCTACATAGTATGAAAAACGTTTTCAAAGCCGGTTCTAACCCTTGTATACTATATCCACCAGAGACTAAAAAAAAAAGTGCCATGGCTAGGAATTATTTTAGAGTAAACGCGTTTGCCAGAAGTGCCAGAGCTGCAGCTGCTGATCTCTGCCTTAAGATAATTGACGACACTGTCTTCCCCCATTTAGGGCAAAGTGACTGTCTCATAGGCAAGTATACCTCTGTGGGGAGTGAAAAGTAGTTGGCTATCTAGACTTCCCTATTGCTTCTATGCATCCTTCCTCTAATGGAAAGGGGCTTCCAAGTATCGGAGAGCATGTGACTGTGCTTGGTTCTGAGCGCCCAAACGCTAGGCTTGAAGACTGTTGTGTATTGGGATGGCAGTGGATTGCAATGCACCCGGTTAAACCCCAACATTCTCCAACACCCGAGCTTAGCTGGAGTGGACTTATGCAGCAGGAAGGCATTTAGGGAATTTAACACTTCTAGAGTGTGCTAGAAGATGGAGACGTTTAGTGGTATGAGCCGCCATTCACTCACCAACGGAGAAGGTGACCGTGTCTCTGTAAGCTGACCCATTCACTGTAATGATTTCAGACATTATCCTTGAACAAACTGCAGATCAGGAATGTCCGTAAAAAGCCAGAATTCCTTATCTGCATATTCATTCCGGATCAGTGAATTCATATATTAAAGGAGTGTCGGCATTATGGGCAGCTAGCTTTTTTTTTTTTTTTGTTTCCTTCGCTGAGAATGCGACTGCTGCGGACTCCGTGATGTAAAAGTGCATTAGGAAGGAGTGTGAGTCTCATCTTGAATGAATGAGAAATGTATAAACTCGCTGGGTTTTCAACCGGAAGTATGTGTTATGGTCAATTGTTCAAATCAATACATCCAAATGAGTTTGTGCCGCATTATAGATTGCAATCATTGCACTAGAACCCTGGATTTATGCTGAATAAATATCTAATTCAAGCTTTGCATCTTTTGTAACCTTTTTTCCCCCCCCTAATTTGCCAGCCACGAAGATGGTACCGTCCGGTTCTGGGATGCCTCTGGGGTCGCCTTGCGGCCTCTTTACCGACTGTCGACCGCTGGTATCTTTCAAACTGACTGTGACCACAATGAAAGCATGCATCAAAGCTGTGAAGATGATTGGCCGCCTTTCCGCAAGGTATGCAGTTTTCTTTGGTGGTGGGGGCTGGTTACATGATTGTATGGGAATTGTCACCCTTATAATCATGCTGTCACTGCAAAGAAAAAGATTTAGTACTGACCTGTTCTGATGCTCGCCCATGACACAGACTTCTCCATCTTTAGGACTCTTCAGCATCTGGCACATTTCTAACAGTGTTAAATTCCTGATCCCTGCTCCACTCTGGTTTCTTCCACTGGTCCCTACATCATTATTGGATCCTTCAGTGATGTAGGGGGCTGGTGGATAAAACCACAGAGCTCAGCAGGGGGACACCAGAATCTGATACTCCTGGATGAGTCTGATGCAGAAGATTTTTCAGCACGGGTTAAGATGGTGACGTTTTGGCAGCAGGACAGGTGAGTGTTGCACAGTTTCTTTGCAGGGAGTTATAAAATCGCAACAGCCACTTTTAAAGGAGAGCTCTGTCTATATAACCTCTATTGGGTTCCCCATCCTCTTGTGATGCTTTTACTAAAGGCATGACCTTTTCTTATGTCCAAGTGGAGATTGTACCCCCACCAACCCCAGAAATGAATGCCCTCCTCTTGTCATCCAGCCGACAGAGCCTCTAGTGCACTGGTGTTCTTGCAATTCCCAGGTGACAGGGGATGCAGCTTATTTCTGGGAGAGTCTGGCCTTAATCTTGAATTGGGCAGACGTCAAGGCCCCCATGTACGACCTCAAATTAGGACCTAAGGGGGCTCCTTGGAAACACAAGGATTGCTTTAAAAACCATAACCGTAACTGGCAGCCACCACAGTGGTGTGCACTATTACCTTGGGAAAACCTTCGGCCTGGTCCATATTCTTTTTAGGCATATTGGCAATGGATGGCATTTGTAGTACACTGATTTACTCTACTTATTGTCTTGCTGTCCAAAGCCATTTCAATGCAAACCAATATATCTAGCCATGTACTGCTAAATCAGCCGTTTTGTTTCTGTAGCTCACTATATCACGAAGAGTTTGTGACGAGGCTGTAGCTTGAGGCCCTTTTATATGTTATGCCCAAACCTTGTCACTAGCTCCCAGTGATTTGGTGAATTTAATTTTTGATCCGTGTCTTCTCCTACTTCCTGTAAGTGACCGGTACTCTTTACAAAGTTTAGAATTGCTGCCGGTAAGTGACAGGTACTCTTTACAAACTTTTTAGCATTGCTGCCGGTAAGTAACGGGTACTCTTTACAAAATTAAGCAATTGATTTTGAAACGGGGAAACTAACCTTTGGAATGCAGTGCACTGTGTTCATGACTTCAGCTGGAGGAGCCGGGGGTGTTCAGCCAAAGATCTGCTCAGCACTTGGATAGGATCCGTACATCTCTTAATCCTGGCGTCCACAAGTCAAGCTTTGGCCTGTTCGGTATTGCAGCATCTGGTGTGCAGATTCCCCTATGGAGTCGGCTCCACCCTGTAACTTATTATTCACTATGGATCTTGTGCTGTCACTGTGTGCTCTGCACAGCCTCGATTTATGGCTCTTTGTTAGAATGTTGCTGTTCCATCGACTCTTCCAATTACCTCCTCCGCTTTGGCATGTTCTGTTATCCTCAGATGGGCAGTTTAGAGACTTGTAGATGTGTTACTTCATTCTTCCAGCTCCAAGTAACTTCCTTCATAACACGTGTGTAATATGAGGGTCAGCCCTAGGTGAAGGGTCTCTAGAGAGGCGCTGTGCTGTCAAACGTGACACTTTGGGTTTGAAACTGACTCGTTCACCGAGTAATGCAGGGAGCAAATTGCAGCCAAAGGGAAGTTGAATCCGCATTATGGTGGATGATCTTTTGACATGTGCAGGTAGGTACAGCATGCTTGCACATTATGGGAAAGGTGACAATGTCTCTTTAAGGTAACAGCTTCGTCCGACACTGCTGCTGCCTCTTTTTGCAGGTCTCCCAACACTTCTCTTTGGAGATAGATGCATAGATAGTGTTTTTATATACCCTCCTATCAGAAATGATTCATACACTATATGCATATTGCAACACTACATTTTTGTCCTTATGCATATCCTTTTTTTTTTTTTTTTCCTCTCCCCAACAGGTTGGTTGTTTCGACCCTTATAGCGATGACCCTCGGCTGGGCATCCAAAAAATCGCCCTCTGCAAGTACAGTGGCAAGATGATAGTGGCAGGAACTGCTGGACAGGTAAACGGACGCCTATGGCTTGCTCTATTAGCATATAGGAATTGTGCCATTACCCCCAGAAAACCAGAGCTGGTTGGTCTGATGTAACAATGTCAGATTGCAGCATTCACTATGCAGTTAGGTAGTTTGACATTGTATTGAACGTTGCAGTTCATTCTGTTCTCCACATCTGGCTTTTATATCTCCCCCACCCCCCACCCCCATTGGTTTCCCAGCAGCAGTTAGCAGTGTTCTCCTACAGCACACGAAGTCAGCTGTGTGGAGGAAAATTCTCCCCTTCCCATATTCTTGTCTCGCACATTCCTGCGTCTTTTATGATCCTGGAAGTTTTTTGCATGTGTCTTTGTGACTGCTATTAAATGTTCTTTTATCTACACCAAGTTATGTTACTATAGGCTCAATTCCCGAAGCATTACACAAGGATAAGGATCTGTATTAGGGATGCACCGATACCGGTTTTTCGGTATCAAGTCAGAGTACCGATGCCGGGCAGCAGGTAATGACATGCCGCTCGGCTTCCTGATTTCCCAGGAAGCTGGCTCTGTCCGGCTCGATGCTGATTGGCTTTTAAGCCCGCTTCCCAACCAATCAGAATGGGGCTGGTCGAACAGCCATGTGAATTTCCTGCGAGGGAAAGGGGTCTTGGACATGTTTTGCACCATTTGGAAATGTTAGTGTGGCTCGGCAGGGGAGGCGAATTGTGGAAATCAGCTCCCCCCCAGCCCGTGTCTGGTCAGATTGCCTGATATGGTATCATGTTCCTAGGATGGCTGATGGCTTCCCTCTCCGCTCTCATCCATTTCACTCTGCTGTGACTTGCGTGAGAGCAGCTGCAGCCGAGCCACCTTCCCAGCAGGTTGAGAAGGAGGAAAGAGGCAAAATGCCCAGCCAATCGGCATTGAACCAGCGATTCAGCCGGCTGGATGCTGATTGGCCAGGAGGCCGGCTTCCCGGTCAATCAGGAAGCTGGGAGGCGGATCATTACTCGCCGCCCGGCTTCCTGATTGCCTGGGAAGCCAGCTTCATGTTCCCCCCACGGCACTGCTGGTCAGAGGAAATCTTCCTCTGACCGGAAGTTCTGGTATCGGGGAAGGTATTTGAGCATTTTGGGCGAGCAAGAGTACTCGCATCGGTATCTGTGCATCCCTAATCTTTATTATCAGCCATGTGACTATAATTTTGAAATGTTATTGGACTTGGCTAAAAATAACTTATTTGAAATGAAGGATCCTTAGTCTGGTGTTTTTTTAGCTTTGTGAATTGAGCCGATGTGTGTTCTTTTTCTCATGATCTGTTTGACCTCTTTGTGTTTGCGGCCTCTTCTAGGTGCTGGTGATGGATCTGAGTGACGAGAAATCTGACCATATGATCAGCGTGGCGACCGTTGACCTCTTACAAGATCGGGAAGGTTTCACGTGGAAGGGCCACGACAGACTGATCCCGAGGAACGGCTCCCTGTTCTTCCCGCCAGGTTTCCAGACCACCTTGCTGGTGCAGTGTATGCCCCCTGCCGCCGTCACAGCCGTCGCCTTACACTCCGAGTGGAATTTGGTGGCTTGCGGCACCAGTCATGGCTTCGGGGTCTTTGACTATCATAAGAGGAGCCCGGTTCTGGCCAGGTGAATGATCTGAATGTTTCGGGGTTGGCTGGGTAACAATGATACAGGGGGCAAAGGCACCTGCTAATGCTTTGGGAGAGTGGTTCCTTTTGCATCAAAACTGGCTGCTGCCATTCACTTAAAGTGATTTGCTGCTCACTTTCTGTCCTGTTGAAAACGCAGGAAGTGAGGGAATATCTCCTTTTAAAGGAGAACTATGAGGGGGGGCGGGGGGGTGCTTTTCACTCACCTCATAGTTCTAGCCGACCTGTGACAATGAGACTGACACAGGTCGGCTCAGTAGATCGGGAAGTGAGCGAACACATACCGGCGTTCGCTCACCTCTCTAACCTGTCACGGCTCTCTGCCGTGAAAGGGGAGGGGCTGGATTCCCCCCTCCGATCCGCCAGCGCTGACTGGCGGAACGGAGGGGGCGGGTACAGCTGGCTCTGCCTCTAGATAGGCAGAGCCAGCTGTCACTCACGCAGCTGGGCGGATCCCGGCTACAGCTCGCGGTATACTGAGCTTAGGGTGACGGGAAGACGCTAGTTTGTGTCCTCACGTTACCCTAAGGAGAACTATGGGGAAAAGCCTTAACCCCCATAGTTCTCCTTTAACAAGGACACAAATGACAATGAGAACCTGACAGAAGTTCTAACCCTTCCCCACTCTTACCAGAGCCGTGTAAGTGCCTAGATTTGTCTTGGTATCATTCTTACAATCCCTTTTACAGCAGAGTTCAGCCTGGGAGAGGGAGAAGCAGCACAGGGAGCCGGTCAGTTGTGCATGTGCTAACAAGGAGCATGCTGATAGGTGGAAGCAGAGTAACCAAGATGAGCTCATCAATCTGCTGCTTCTCCTTTCACTGTCCAGTCTCAGGCTGGAGAAGGGCCAAGATCTGTAAGTGTTGCTTAACTGCAGCAGAGAAGAAATCTGGTCTCCTGCCCTGCCAGACAGGGCTGTGTAAATGTCAAAACTGGATGGGCAGAAATACAAACCAGTAAAACAACCACAATATATGTCTTCCATCTGTATTTAGCTTTTAGTCTAGAATTCAACTGTAGTCCCGATAAAATGTGCGGGTGATTGTAATTGGGCTGTTGGCGTCTATATGCTTCTGCAGGACAAGCACTGCGGTGTCTGTATTGGCATCATGACCGATGTTGTATGTCGAGTACGGTGTCTATAGTGTATCCATTTGTAGAAAACCGCACATGCGGCTGGCTATATTAGATGGCAGAGGTCTGTGCCTCAGCCTCTCTTCTTCCTCATTAAAAATGTATTGAGTGATGTCTTGGTACCAGAGTTGGTCCCGGAGGTACGGCTACATGCTGTATCTTGATCTGCCGAGTGGTTTGCCAGGGGCAATACTTGGGGCCAGTCTGTTGTCCTGCATTCACACTTGTGAAGAAGAATCATTGCTGCTCCTTCACTTTCTCCTGTCTTCGGCCCTGGGTGGGGTGGTGACCTACCTGTGTTGCCAGGCAGGGGTAACAGTCCCCGTGCCAGCTCATACTCTACTAATGGCGCCAGGCTGCCTGCTGAGCACTAATAGTGGAGTCATTTTTTTCTCTTGGAGTCTAATCTATCCTTGGAGTCTGTCAGGTGTGGCTGGACCCTTTCGGCTGAGGTTTTATTTAAGACTATATGACCAAAGTCAGCCAGTTTTTTGTTTTCTTCCTGACTCTGATCACAAGCCACAAGCGCTCTTCTGCGGCCTCCCCTGAGGGTCTTTAGGCTCATTCTGGAGCTCAAAACTCTGACAGGGTTATTCACAAAAGGGTGAAGAGTTTGGAGGAGGCCGGAGAAGTGAACACTCTAGGACAACATTGAGCTGAATTGGAGAATTTTTCCAGTTCAGCTTTGTTGGCCTAGATTGTTCACTTCTCCGGCCTTCTCCAAACTCTTCACCCTTCTGTGAATATCCCTGTGAATGTTTCAGATCCAGGAATTCCGCATGAACTCTACCAAAACGATCTTCGCCTCCCTTCACAAGGGAGACTTTTCTGGCTTTTTTTTTTTTTTTTCTACCTTATGTGACCCATGGAATGTTGCCGGTAGTTTGTTCGTTCATGTAACGTTCGGTTTATGTGTGGTCGTCCTTTTAATGCCCTTATTGCCTGCCTTTTGCCTTTATATGTCCTGTGCTCTCATTCCAGGTGCACCCTTCACCCCAACGATTCCCTGGCCATGGAGGGTCCCCTGTCCCGGGTGAAATCTCTGAAGAAGTCTCTCCGCCAGTCTTTCAGGCGAATCAGAAAGAGCCGGGTGTCTGGGAAGAAAAGGCCGAACACAGCGAGCCCCAATAGCCGGGTGGGTAATGTGCAAGTTTTTGTGAGCACTTTTTTTTCCGGAAGGAAACACGTTTGGAGCTGTTACCATACAACACTTGGATCCTGGGATCAGTTCCCATAGACCAGTGGTTCTCAACCTGTGTAATCTCAGGACCCACGTTTGTCCTTGGATATTAAGTCACGACCCAAGTCACACCACATTGGAGCGCACGGCATTGCGGTACCGCGTGTTCCGGTGTGGGCAATCAAACTGTTGGCAGTAGGTGAGTTTGGGGTGCCATTCAAATGAACAGGGGGCTGCTGTGCTGTGGCGGAGCTCCATCCATATGTGCATTGCTTGTACATCTCCCTTGAGCGCCCTGTAGAGGTGCCGGGAGCCAGAATGTGACATTACTCCGGTCCAGGCATCTCTACAGGGCACCCGAGGGAGTTGTAAGCAATGCAGCTATTGATGGAGCCCCCTTGCAGCCATACCTCCACCCCACCTCAAGCTGAGACTCTGCACCGGGCAGCATATTTTGAATGGCTGCTTGGTGCAAGAACTGACAGTGCTGTGCAAGGGGGAGGCTGAGGAACTCCTCACCTAGCGTAGTGGAGGGCACACAGGATCGTGACCCACTTTTGGGTCACTGCCCACCAGTTGAGAACCACGGGCATAGACTATGTCTGTATTGTGGTATATTTGTTCCCCCTCCTTCCAAAAAAGCAGCCTAGAGGATGCATCCAAGGACCCCAGTGCAAACAGTGAACAAAGATTAAACAGCCCTGTGTAGAGCAGTATTGCCATGTGATGGGGGAGAGGTTGCATACCTTCGGAGAATTGGTTACATGGATCACAAACCTTTTTTTTTCTGTTGCATGAACTTGAGCATTTGATTGCTTGCTGCAGGCAATTGGTGTTCTTATCAGCGGGGTCTGTAGTGCAGGGGGGTGCTGCCACCTAGTGTTCACTTTGTTTTCTACCATCAGCTACAAGAGGCCAATGCCCATCTGGCCGAGCAGGTTGGCCCACATGACCTGGAGATGACCCCGGTGCAGAGGAGAATTGAGCCACGGTCTGCCGACGATTCGCTGTCTGGTGTTGTGCGCTGCCTGTACTTCGCTGACACGTTTTTACGGGATGGTATGAACCCCTTTCCCTACAATAATGTATAAGTAGCCTGTTCAGTGTAAAGGTTTTGTGTGTGTTTTGTAATTGCATTGTGCACATGGCAGCAGCCATAGTTGAGTGATGCATTTTAAAGGTATAAAAAAAGGTAGGCAGAAGGCTTAGGGGTAGTCACAAGTATTGTGCGGGGTCTCCTTGTCGCTGGCTTACTATGCCTTTTACTGCGCGGGATCTGTGGGAGGGCAGCAGGGCAATGCTTCCCCATGTCAGAGCTGCCCCGCCAATGACTGCTGATATGATGCCTGTAGGAGTTATCAAGCAGGAGAAGGGGAGGAAGCACCAAGTCACAGCATTAATGAAGCAGGGAGATCCTTGTACTGCACGTCCTCGGGTACAGCTTTCCCTCCAGCAAGGAGAAGTGTGAGCAGCACATTAATGACCAAATCTTACTCCTAATCTGGGGAGACTAGCAGTGAGGGAGCAGTGCCTTAGATCTCGCACTGCAGGTATACAGCTACGAGGATACAAGAGTGCCCAGGCACGGGGACTGCTCTGCTATTTTTGTGGAGGATTTCAAGACAAAAGATAAAGCTTTAAGAATTCTGCTGGGGCACAATCTTTCTGTATACAGGAAACTCCCAGTTATCCGGCGTCCACAGGGGTTGGTAGATTCCGAATAAATGTTTCTGGTTGCTTATGAGTTAGACCCATTTTTAAATAGTAACTCTTGGCATACCCTGTACTATACCCCATACTATATCATACCACCATACCATAACAAACTCTGTATTGACTTCATATTAATATTGAAATACAGTAATACCTTGGTTTACAAGTAACTTGGTTTGAGAGCGTTTTGCAAGACAAGCAAACATTTCTGAAAAATGTTGCCTTGATATACAAGCAAATGTCTTGCAATAAGAGCAAAATTTTGTAGAAAAGCGCCACCCGAATAAGGCTGTAGCAGTGCGAGCGATGAATCTGTTTAACGACAATGCAATGTCACATTGGATAGATTCCTTGTTAAGGTTTCGCAAAATGAAAAATATTCCATTGAGTCAAGAGATAGCAGTGATTCCGTTAGTGATAGTGAAAGTCGTCCTGCACAATAATCCTCCTCTCTCTTGTCCCCCTCACACCAGCCACGAAGGTACTGGTAATTGGTTTATTTTTCTTTATATTTTATACAGTATTATATTGCAGTACAGTATTGTAATCATTTTATATGAATATTTTTGGGTTGTGGAACGAATCATCTGAATTTCCATTATTTCCTATGGGGAAATTCGCTTTGATATACAAGCGCTTTGGATTACAAGCATGCTTCCGGAACGAATTATGCTCTTAAACCAAGGTATTACTGTAAAAGGAAATTAAGACAAATAGACGCACAATCATTTCCAGGATCATGCATGCCACAGATCAACAAAACAGTACTCGGGATTATTTTTTCTTTCTGGTTAGGTGAGAGTTCTGGTTAGTTGAATACCGGATAACTGAGTTTACTGTATAAGGTTTGACCTGTGTGTGTTCATCCCCCCCCCCCACCCCCTTCAAAATGTGGAGATTCTAACCAATATCACTTGATATGCCTGAAGTGAAGCTTAAGGTCTCGCGCATATGCAATACGCCTAGGTGTGAACGCCTGTCGCACGTTTTTACCGCAATTTGCGGTAAAAAGTCGCGTGACAAACGCGCGTTTCCGAAGGCTACTTGGCTGTATCCCAATGGAAACGCGCAACAAACGGGCCCAAAGTAGTACCTGTACCTTTTCAGGCGTGGGCCGTTTGGTAGCGCGTTAGGGACGGGCGGAAATACGCCAAGGTGGGAACGAGACCATTGAATACAATGGGATTTATATTTTTGAGCGTTCGTCGAGCGTAGAACGCGCTACAAAACGTTCAGGTGTGAACGAAGGCTAAAGTAGAATTAAACACTTTCTTTTTGCATATGTCTACGGCTAGCAAGCAATAGATCTATGCAGAAACGTTTAAAAAAAATGTTACCAAATAGGAAATTGCTTACTTGTGTCTACGCCGCTCGCTCCCATCTGAAGATTCTCGAGCGGCTGTGAAGGATCATGGGGCGGACGCATGTGCAGTAGAGATCTTCGGCTGGGAGAAGAGGAGAGACGCAGGGTAAGTCAATGCACGCAGCCAGGTGCGTGCATGTTGGACAAACACCATGGGACAGGAAGAGGGAGGAGTCAGCGCTGGATCAGAGACCGGCACCAGCACTGGAGGGACTCCTGAAAACTACAGGAAAGAAGATGATCCGATCAAGAGGCATCATTTAGGGTATGTCCTTACACCAGCATATGGGGGGGGGGGATTGAGACAATGTCACCTTAATGAATATTTTTCTTATGTGGCAGACAACCTTGTGAATGACATTATGAGCGGGATGTGTCATATTTGTACGACGTAGTACACAATGATTGAGTGCATCTGCATGAAACACATTTCCGGCTCTGCTGGTTTTCCACATGTTTTGAATAAATACATAAAAAGCAGCTCGATGAATGAATGTGGCTTTCCATTTATATGAGCATGAAACCTAGATACGGGGCCACCAGTGACTCTGACCGGTCTAGTCCTGGTACACTGTCACTGTAAGATGCAGTACACTGCATCTTATTCTTACAGCTTTCCAAACCTGACCGCGTACTTGGTGCAGATGAACAATAATGTTGTTCTTGCATCCCCAGCATATATCCCAGTACAGCTCCAGTTCTCCCAGTGCCACATCCGTCACAGCCCAGTTATTTGTCACTGGACCTTCTACAACAATGATTTAATAAGTCCAACTGCTGTTACCTGTACTGTTTATACCTTGTGGGATGGGGCAGGGGAGCAAATACAGCTGGGAAGAGCTCACCACTTTACTCCGCACAAAAAGACACACGGTCATTCAACCAACTCCCCAAAATATCAGTTTAGGTGTGCTGATTTATATGAAGGGTGGGGGATTCATGAATCCCTCATCACGTCCCAGCCTCTATAATCTTAAAGGAAACTACAGTGCACATTGGGGTCTAGTTATAAAAAATGTTCATCGCTTATTCATCCAGTGAAACTACATGCACATTCCTGCTGTAAAAATTCACCAGCCGCTGTGAGAGGCAAAAACGAATGTTCTTGGTGTAATTCCTCTTCTGGTCAAATGTTCTTCAATAGGTAAATTCATAAAACACACAGGTAATGGGGAGAATGCCGCATTATGGCCGCTGGATGGATCTGAGGATCATCGGAAATCCATGTTAGGAGATGCAATTTAAGAGAACAATGGAGGGAATGAGCATATAAATGTAACCATTGATCCTGTCGGGTAGCAGTTGTTTCAATGTAAGAAAATGAGAAATGATTGCTATCCCTGTAGTATCAATGCTTACATGTATATGCTCATTACCTTCAGCGTTCTTTTTGTATCTTGTTGCTAACATGTATTTATTTCCCATGATCCTCTGCTCCATCTAATGGCCATGATGCTGCATTTATTTCCCATGATCCTCAGCTCCATCTAATGGCCATGATGTGATATTTATTTCCCATGATACTCGGCTCCATCTAATGGCCATGATGCGGGATTTATTTCCCATGATCCTCGGCTCCATCTAGTGGCCATGATGTGATATTTATTTCCCATGATCCTCGGCTCCATCTAGTGGCTATGATGCGGGATTTATTTCCCATGATCCTCGGCTCCATCTAGTGGCCATGATGCTGCATTTATTTCCCATGATACTCGGCTCCATCTAATGGCCATGATGCGGGATTTATTTCCCATGATCCTCGGCTCCATCTAATGGCTATGATGCTGGATTTATTTCCCATGATCCTCGGCTCCATCTAGTGGCCATGATGCTGTATTTATTTCCCATGATACTCGGCTCCATCTAATGGCCATGATGCGGGATTTATTTCCCATGATCCTCGGCTCCATCTAGTGGCCATGATGCTGCATTTATTTCCCATGATACTCGGCTCCATCTAATGGCCATGATGCAGTATTTATTTCCCATGATCCTCGGCTCCATCTAATGGCTATGATGCGGGATTTATTTCCCATGATCCTCGGCTCCATCTAGTGGCTATGATGCTGCATTTATTTCCCATGATCCTCAGCTCCATCTAATGGCCATGATGTGATATTTATTTCCTATGATCCTCGGCTCCATCTAATGGCCATGATGCAGTATTTATTTCCCATGATCCTCGGCTCCATCTAATGGCCATGATGTGATATTTATTTCCCATGATCCTCGGCTCCATCTAATGGCCATGATGTGATATTTATTTCCCATGATCCTCGGCTCCATCTAATGGCTATGATGCGGGATTTATTTCCCATGATCCTCGGCTCCATCTAATGGCCATGATGCGGGATTTATTTCCCATGATCCTCGGCTCCATCTAGTGGCCATGATGTGATATTTATTTCCCATGATCCTCGGCTCCATCTAGTGGCCATGATGTGATATTTATTTCCCATGATCCTCGGCTCCATCTAGTGGCCATGTTGCGGTATTTTCCCCATTCACTGTGTTCTTTATGAATATACCTATTGAAAAGCATTTGACCAGAAGAGAAATTACACTGAGAACATTTGTTTTTTGCCCCTTTCTCACAACGGCTGGTTAACTCACACAGGATGAATGCACATGGGGGTTTCACTGAGCAAACACGCTTTGCAATTTTTTTATAAATGGACCCCATTGAGTTAGTACAAGCATCTAAAATATGAAGCTTGCATTCAAAATGACCATCTGATAAAAAGATGTTCTAAGTGTGTGGATTTTTAGGGTCTCCATCTGTGGTTGTGCAATTGGCATTTCTACTGTGATTGCCGTGATAAAAGATAAACCTCAGGAGGAGTCTGATTTCCGGATGAAAAGGACGGATCGGAAAGCAGTAAGAGAGGAACATTAACAGGGTTAGTCACTAAAGGGTGAAGAGTTTGGAGAAGGCTGGAGAAGGGAACAATCTAGGACAACATAGCTGAACCGGAAAGTGAGCTGAATGGGAGAATTTTTCCAGTTCAGCTATGTTGTCCTAGATTGTTCCCTTTTCCGGCCTTCTCCAAACTCTTCACCCTTTAGTGAATAGACCTGTAAATGACTGATACTGGGAAAGCGCTTGTATTAATGATGTAGCCGTCTTCGGTAAAGCAAATCTGTGCTAAAAGCCATTTAAAGCTCTACTTTTTTCTAAGTGAATATGCAAAAAGGTCGTTCGTAAAAAAGGTATTTTTGTCTGTAGAGATTTGATGTGAGTTTGTGTCTGAAGCGGTATTCCGTAGCCCCCTTACCTTGTCTCTCTCCTTGCAGCTGGCCACCACGGGCCCACCATGTGGGCCGGCACAAACTCTGGCTCTGTCTTCGCCTATGCCTTGGAAGTCCCTTCGCGGGAGAAGTTCTCGGAACGCTCGACAGAGGCCGTGCTGGGCAAAGAAATTCAGCTTATGCATCGGGCCCCTGTGGTCTCTATAGCGGTCCTGGACGGACGGGGCAACCCTCTCCCAGAACCCTTTGAGGTGTCACGTGACCTGGCTAAAGCACCCGACATGCAGGGAACACACTCTGTGCTGATTGCTTCGGAGGAGCAGTTTAAGGTACTAGTCCATACACAGGGGGATATTTGAACACTTGATGGAGTTTGGGGGGGGGGGACCACAGATGTAAGGAGGCCGTTTACTTCTGACCTGCAATCTTTATTTATGGGCAATACAATTGTCACTGCCTGCATTATTCTTGTCCTTATTATTCATTCCTGATTATTACTGTGAATAATTGTTGCTTCGAGGAAGGTTAGGTGTTATTTTGCCCCGGGTGTCACATAGGCTAGGCATGCCATTGTTCCAGCATATCTGTTAAAAGCTAAACTGTCAGTCCTGGGTGGATTGGTGCTTTAAGCGATGAGCTGAAAGAACTGCCGTGTGGAATCTGTTCCTGGAATGAATGGAATCCGGAATTTTCTTCTTCATACTTCAGAGCTTTTAAGGGCCCCCAAGAATTCCTGGATTGATGGTATAAATTCTGCGTGAGCAGGTTATCCATGGTCCTCTCCTCTCTGTGCCTACAGCTGTCTAGTCTGCTGCTATTGCAGAACACTGTACCTCATAGAGATTCAAAAAATCTGCATAGAGTCATGTGACAAGTAGCTGGAGTTCTCCATTTGTGTGTATGTAGTACCGGACTACACCAATAAGATAATCTGCAGAGTTTTACAGAACGTCTTTGTGGAGTCGAGCATTTTTGTTTTGTCTTTCCAGGTTTTTGCTTTGCCCAAGGTTGGTGCCAAAACCAAATTCAAGCTGACCGCCCACGAAGGCTGCCGAGTGAGGAAAGTGGCACTTGTGAACTTCACCAGCACCGCATCTGATGATTACTCAGAAAACTGCCTGGCGTGCCTTACCAACCTGGGGGACATCCATGTGTTCAGTGTTCCCGGACTGCGACCGCAGGTGCGCTACGACTGCATTCGCAAGGAGGACATCAGCGGCATTGCATCATGTGTGTTCACCAAGTATGGACAAGGTAAGACTAATGGAAATCCCAGAACAATGGCGCGCGGACAGATGGGGGCGAAGGGTTCCTGAACAACCGCAGAATTAACATTTAGCATGCCTTGGTTCTGAGACCTTTCCCTTCCTTTAAACTAAAAATCCGGGCAAGGTCTTGGGGAAGGCATGCTAACACTTAAAGGTTGGGCAAAGTCTTGGAACAAAGACCTATTACCACTTGAAGGACAGGGAGGGTCTCGGAGCAAAGTACGAACACTAGAAGGACACGTAGGGTCATGACATTTTGGTGATGAGGTGATTCTGGAACAAAGGTACTCTGCCATTGCTCCGAAACAAACACTCCTTTTTCTTGAAGTGTCAGTGATATTCGGAAGTCTAGGAAGAGTGGCACAGTGACTCTTAAAGAAAGGAGAGGGTCTTGGAACAGGTGCACACTGACGAAGAAAGGGGAATGTCTTGGAATAGGGGCGCACTGACCCTTGAAAGAAGGAGAGGGTCTCGGAATAGGGGAACACTGACCCTTGAAGGAAGGAGAGGGTCTCGGAATAGGGGCACACTGACCCATGAAGGAAAGAGGGTCTCGGAATAGGGGCACACTGACCCTTGAAGGAAAGAGGGTCTCGGAACAGGGGCACACTGACCCATGAAGGAAAGAGGGTCTCGGAATAGGGGCACACTGACCCTTGAAGGAAAGAGGGTCTCGGAACAGGGGCACACTGACCCATGAAGGAAAGAGGGTCTCGGAATAGGGGCACACTGACCCTTGAAGGAAAGAGGGTCTCGGAATAGGGGCATACTGACCCTTGACGGAAGGAGAGGGTCTCGGAACAGGGGCACACTGACCCTTGAAGGAAGGAGAGGGTCGCGGAACAGGGGCACACTGACCCTTGAAGGAAAGAGGGTCTCGGAACAGGGGCACACTGACACTTGAATCAAGGGGAGGGTTTCGGAACAGGGTCACACTACCTTGTTCTCAGTATAATGTTTGAGTAAGAAGACAACACAATCCTTTCCTACATTTGTACTGTACATCCCGGAGTTGTAATATGTATATAATAACAATGTCCATATACAATGGAATATATAAAAATACAAACCCTAATAAACACTGAAATACTTTTTTATATTTCTCCTCCTGCAGGGTTTTATCTCATCTCCCCCTCAGAATTTGAACGGTTCTCCCTCAGTGCCAAGAACATAACCGAGCCGCTGTGTCTGGTGGAGTTCGATAGGCCCCATGATCCTGCGTATCTCAGGTGAGGGGATTGTATCCCGTAGAGACATCCTGCGTCACATTTGTTACAATACTTGTGATCTCTCGTTATGTCCTCCGACACTCATCGTACTTACTATGTATCTTAGCAATAAAGACACTTCAGCCAAAACCAACCAAGCCAACGGCACCCACATCCCCCGAGAGTGTGACGGCACCCAGCTGCTGCCTGACGGTAAGGGGAGGGCATCGCTCTGCTGTTGTACAGAATGGGGATTATTGTATTGCCGCGTTAGGAGTCCGCTATAAAACTGACCGATGGAAGTTCTGTCCTTGTAGCCCACAGCAACGGCAGAACTAAAGTACAAAATGGACTCATTTCCTCTCGAGCTGTAAAATTCCCTTTTACCATTCACAAATCTAAAGGAGAAGATGGGTGGACTATGAGAAATTCAAACGATAACAACGGACTCACCATTTTGGCGATAATGGTCAAAGAGGGCATTTCATCCATTTGAAGAGGGATTCTCTCACTTCCTGCTGTCTACAGGACGGGAAGTGCAAGGAAATCTACCCCCCCCCCCAAGTGGGACACAGATGGCCACTAAAAGTAGGGCGGATGTAAGACAACAGAGACGTCTTCCTTTAGAGATGTCTACGCTTGAGGCCCAGTTGTCCCTGTAGTTGTATGCTGTATATCAGACTGCCCGTGTGTGGAGGGAGGAGGGGGACAATAGGTGCCCCTCCACAGCCAATCACATTGCAGCTGGTTTTCGTCCCATGTTGTCTGTACAAGTAAATGATTCTGATTGGTTGATGTGGGTGATATAGGATACTGCATATTATTTATACATAATAAAGAGACTATCCTCCTCTCTTCTTGCAGGAAATACATGTGAGCACACAGCGGCCTTTTCACCCAACGCCCTGGACTCTCCTCTCAACAGTACGGACACTACGCTGGACACAACCGGGGACATCACAGTGGAGGACGTCCGGGACATGCTGGGGTGAGCAGACCACAATGGCACACCATTTAAGAGTGACCTGTTTTGTCTGCGTTTGATGCTCTTCATGAGGGAGTTATGAAAAATAAAAGTGGGAATTAATCCTTTAAATGTACTTTGTTACTGGGACTTGGTATCCCCTGATTTCATAGTGCCAGCCATTGTGAATGCCGATTACTGACCAATCAAGGGGTCTGGACAGTGATGAGGCTTGGCGTTCAGGGGCCACTTTGGACAATGATGAGGCTTGGCGTTCAGGGGCCACTTTGGACAATGATGAGGCTTGGCGGTCAGGGGCCACTTTGTCGTATATCACTTCTCCGAGTCACTGTATAAATCCTTCATTCTAGATCAAATGAAGAATCCGAGAAAAATATGAAGAATTCGGCAGACGAGCCTCGATTGCCTGAGATCCTGATCAAATAGGGTAGGTGGCTTTATAGTTCTCATGCATTGTATAAAGGGGAAAATAGGTTTTGCCAATTGCGTGTTCTTTCTACGTTCTAGTGCAGGGGCAGGAAAACTCTGGCCCCCCAGCTGTGAGGAAACCTATAACTTCCATGTCTCTGACTCTCTGAGTCATGCCTATGGCTGTCAGTCTTGCACTGCCTCATGGGATTTGTAGTTCTGCAGCAGCTGGAGGGCCGGAGTTTGCCTACCCCTGTTCTATTGATCCCAAGGCCTTAGCACTAGACTTTGTGTTGTGACTTGTAGCGCCATCTGGTGGCAGAACATGGAAGAGCTTCAGACCATTTCTTCTGGTGATGTATAAAACCCGTTTCTTTCTTTCCCCCTCTGTCAGGCTTGGCCTCGGTGGAGCCTCTGTTCACATTTCTTTTCACATGACTGTTTCTGAGCGATGCCATAAATAAACTACAAAACTCATTCCTGCCACCGAAGAATATGAGGCGACTGATGATCCATTCACATCTGGCTCCCCTAGTATTCAGCACATTGACGACAACCAACAAAGAAGCCTTCACATCCTCCAATGACCTCCCTCCTGATCCCCAATTTTGTCTGAGGAAGGACATGACTGCTTTCTTCACAGCGTGGATCCATACCAACCCTTGACTTCTGAATGACCGCTAACGTTACATTAAGAGGGTTCACCTTACTGCATGAATATGACATTTTTGCATCCCTGCATACAACGTTGTCACCAGAGTGGAGCCAGACCCGAAAATTGGATGGGAGGGGAGAACTGGTCTACACCCCCAAAAATTGGATGGGAGGGGGGAACTGGTCTACACCCCCAAAAATTGGATTGGATGGGAGGGGAGAACTGGTCTACACCCCTTGTTTGCATCTAAATGGACTGTGTGTTCCTTCCCTGTTGCTGGAGAAGACCAACGTAACATTTCATGACTGGACGATACGACAGTATTTTAGAGGCTGTGTGAGATTTTTAATTCTCCTCCTCGTCGCTGATCCCCCCTTTTTGCGTCTCTAGATTGACGCCACGGTCCCTGGCTGCCGGGCCGAAGCCGCTTTGGATTTACAACTTTGTGTACTGTCCATTTTTTTTTTTTTTCCCCTTTCCTCTTATTAGGATTTGCTGCTCTGGACTCCGCTATCTTTTAAAAGTAAAATTTTTATATATATATATATATTCTCTTGCACAATTTACTGGTTTCCTGCTTCTGATGCTAAAGCGTTTCAAGGGCCTCTTACTCAGCAATAACCTGCTTGTTTGATGGCAGCATGTAAAGGGAGCCTGCTTATATCCCTCGGAACATTCTCCCCCCATCGCCACACTTTTCAGCGACCAAAGTCTGATCAGATTCCGGCTGTGACATCACCGTGAATGTGAATTTTATAGCCCGCGCGTTACTGGGCCGACCGTAGAACCGCTAAAGCGGCGGACTGCGAATTGTACACGACTGTGAGTTATGGATCCCTGCAGCATTTCGGGGGTGGAACTGAACTTTTCTCTCTGATCATTGCGTGACTTAGATCTATTTTTATATGCCTTGCCTTGCATTTCTGAGGCGATTTTTGGTACTGCTTTTTTCTGTGAATCTTCTACAGTTTCTATTAAGGGGAAGGTAGAGCGCGAGACGAGGAAGGCCGCGCACGGCTCTCGCGGTGTTACGGATGAGAAGTGCCGGAGAGCCGAAGAAGATTTTGCTAACCATATTATTGTCACGGACAAGATTATCTTTAAATGATCCAGTTTACATGGATTTTATTTTTCGGTTTAGTTTGTAATCTTATTTCATTTTTTTTGTTTAGATATAAAAAGTGTTTTATTAAAAAAATAAAGATAATTTGCCTGTTTTTTCTTCATTGAAATTGTGTTATCGGAAGCAAAGGTGAGAGAGACTCTGGTTCCTGTGGCTTCCAGCAAACTCTTGCAACATATAAAGATCCAATCGGATGGCAGCTGTAGTTGGCCTGTGGTAAGATAAAGACTTGTGATTGGCTGAGTTGGGGGTGGTTGCTCCATACATTGCGCCCTCATTGTTTCAAAGGAACACTTGTGTGGAGTCCATCGTGGAACAGCAAAATACTCGTTCCAGGTCTGTGATTAAAATTAGAAGAAGCCCAAATCTAGCTAAAACCTCTTTTTTATTTAACATTGGTATAGGGCAGGCAACCTTGGCTCTCCAGCTGTGCTGAAACTACAAATCCCATCATGCTTCTGCCTCTGGGAGTCATGCCTGTGGCTTGTGGATTTGTAGTTTCAGCACAGCTGGAGAGCCAAGGTTGCCTACCCCTGGGTGTGTGGAAGTGGTTAGAACATCTGCTGGGTTTTAAATGCTGTGCTGTGATGCTTGTCACCAGGACAGGAAGTGAGGACCGATCTCCCTGTATGAAGTCACAGACCAGAGTAAAGGGTACCGATTACAGGTGTCAATAGGAGCCTATTCAGGGCAGAATGATGGTTCTGCCTCATAAGCCACCCTCCCCCTTTTCATTGATCAAGTCCGAGCTTACCTGGGTGGATCACATCTGTGCAAACTGGATCTCCATCCTTTTCATGTGACTGTATTTGGGCCTTGTGCGTAAGAAGTGCTATGTGTGCAGTATCGGGGGGGGGGGAAACGTCTGGTCGGCCCCCGCAAGCGCCGCTGAAAGGTAAAGTGGCCGAGTGGACTTTGCTTTTCTGTGAGTGACTGCTGGAACAAGATGGGTTTGGCTGGTGTGACCCGGATTCAGATTGAAGCATCACTGAGCCAATGTTTTATATTCCTTATGAAGTCTGTCATTGAAAACGACCAAAAACATGAAAGTGAAGTGCAAATTTATTAAAATATAAAGTTCATACAGTAAATCCTCCCTCAAGTCTGGGCCCATGGGGTACATCAGTGGTTGTGCACTTATGGGGGGGGGGAAGAGAAATATATATCATCTCCCCCTGATGACATTTATGAGATTGTTAAATAGAAATGATGAACTAGCACAGAAAAGTCAGACGGTGGACCCCATAGAACATGTGAACCACATTAGCCATAGTAACCAATGAAAATACATCCTGCACTTGGCTAACGTCACTCAAGCGGATTCTGATTTGTTGCTATGGGTTACTGCACTTTGCTTTGCCCCCCCCCCCCCCCAGC